CAATAAGGACTGGATTAAGATGTAGGGAACTGTAGGATCCAGAACAATTTCCGATGCTCATTAGCTCTTCTCTGCTGCAGCAGAATTCAATTCTTAAACACTGCACACAGTACCTCTCCCTTGCCATCTTCATTAGAAATTTTCTAGTTTCAAGTCCACCTGGAGTATTTCAGAGGCCAGCTTCTGTTTAAGGCTACACTGAGTCACGAGTGGGAGCTCTGTGCGACTGCCCTCCCACACTCACGTTCTGAACATAGAAAGGTGCTCTTTCTTCCCCTTTAAAACTTTAACTTCCACTCAGAGCAACCCAGCAAACCAAATTTCCCTTTCCCTCTTTTACAGCTAAAACAAACCAAGCCAAACGAAAAGAAGTTCACAAAGTTCACAAAGACAGAAGTTTTCTTTTTTCCTCATATGCTTTTAGATTTTAGTGGAGCTGCAGTTCAGGAAATATTCTACTAAATAGTATATGTTTACAAAGTAAGTTCAGCTTGAACTCCTGCATGTGTAAAGATTTCAGTGTGTGAGATATTTAGTACTAGAGTGAACTGGGCTGGGAACAAGTATTAAAAAAAAACAACACACCACCTTATATGAAGAACACAGAAAGCACTGAGAGTTATTTAAGCCAGCCATATTTTCATAATCTCCTTTCTCCAAGGTAGCAAAATTCCACAGACCTCACTTTGACCATGATACATATGCATATACTAGTCTTTCCTGACATTTTGTAATCATTTAGAGGAAAATCCAAGGTAATATCAATACCTACCACAAAACAAACTTATTACAAAGAGACAAGCTTATTTCAGCTTGCTGAAGAAGAACTTTATTTGCTGACAGGAGAAAAAAAACAAAAGAACATACTTGTCATTTGAATTGAGGTAATAATAAATAAATACAGCCTGTCCTTAAGAATATTGATTCACTCTCCTTTTAAAATTGAGTAGGTTAATACGAAATTCCATTTTAGACAAGGAAAAACAGAAATAAAACAAAACAATCACCCAACCGTTAATCTCCTCCGTTCTCCACAGCATTTACTTCTCAGACATTCGGGTTCAAACAAGGGTCCACATTAATGTGGGAAAGGTATTCTTCCCCCACTTCTGACTTGGGCACACTAAAAAAATCTCACATAAGAATTTGGCACTGTATTAGCTCACTATGAGAAACATCTGCAATAGAGATAGCAATATCACAAGCTAGAATCGGTGCACACAAGTGGCACAACACCAAGTTTTACACAACACCTGCTGCAGTTAGCCTAAACAATCTTTCATGATTGCTGTGCTCGTTCTCAGTAAAAATATACCATCACCCTCAAATACAAAGTGTTCCCATTCTTTGCTCTCACATAAACTGGTTATGTCCTTTAAATTCTCAAAAGCTTTGTACCTAAATTGTAAGAAACTGCAGTAAAACAACTTACTGAGAACTTACTGGTTAAGAAAACAGAACAGTTGAGTTGCTACACTGGAAGCAAACAACCACAGAAGAACCTAGAAGTCTGAATACAACCAGGTAGCTTTCATGTGCATGTACCAATACACAACTACAACAATAGCTCTTAAAACGGTATTAGAAAAACGTCATGGATTTATTTAACACAATGTCATCACCTTTCAACTTGTGTTCAAATTCCAGATGTGATCCTTCCCATTCCTATTTTGGTGATTCAAAGTTCGTTTAGCGCTTCATTTTGCACCTAGTAAAGTCTGCAAAGCCAATAGCACACACAAAAAAAACAACCTGCAAAGCACCATGCTGAACTGCCAGGGACTGGTGACCTGCCTCCAACCTCAAAGGAGGAATATTTAAGACACTCACATACGTGTTCCAAAACCTCTCTGTCCTCTCTGCGATAGCCTGGTTGCCTCCCATTTCCAAACCAGCACCCTACAGCTGTGCAATGTGATCTCTTCAGTGCCACGCGTGAACAGTAAAGAAACTTCAAACACCAAGCTGCATGACTGCAGTTACTTGAGTTATGGCACAAGATTCAGTAAATACAGCGTTTACAGTAACACTACTTAACAGTTTTCCCAAATTCCTCACAGCCTAAGTTGTGTGGTTCCTGAATAAATGACTGACCAAATATACCACACATAAATTACTGGCATATAAAACAAAGGATAGAAGGAAAGTTCGATACTACATGGAATTGGAAACACAAGACAGTTGTGATACAAGAGAAGTGTACAGATACTATTTTACTTAAGTCCATGCCAATATTTTCATTTTAAAGCTCTAAAGCACAAATTCACATCTACTCAGCTGGGCAATGATGCCCCTACAAGTCAAATAGTAAGAGAAGACAACACCTCATGAAGCACTGCTACAAACCTGTAACGCATTTCAAAACAGATAAATTATTTTCTTCAATTTCACCCTGTATTTCCTATTTCAATATTGACAGAGTATAACATTTAAAATTTGAGAAACAAAAGAACTTTGATTGACAGCTACATATGTCAGAGGTTGGTTTGACTGGTTGATTTTGATTGATTTCTCCATATTAGGGCTTCAGAGAGTATTTTTTGGACTTGCAAAAAGAGGGTGCCAGGGGTTCCTGCTCCCAGTAGCAGGAACCTTCACATAGTGAGTACCATGTGGGCCACTGCCAAGCTGTCCCAGCAGATTGCAGGTAAGGCTGTGTGAGCTGCTGCGCTGAAAGGCACCACGCAAGGCCTGCATATCTGGCAGGGAAGCCGGCCTGCTGAAGACAGGAGTTGAGGAGAGGGGACAGGTGTCACATAACGAAACACGGCAGGCCCAGGCCAAAGGCTCAGCACAAGCATGGCAGGCCCACACCTGGACACACAGCACTGGTGCTAGCGTACAAGCACGGTGCTGGTCTCGCCAAGGCCCACACCCTCACATACTGCTTCCAACACAGACCGTCTGGCAGCGCTGCCTGGGCTCGCCAGTCAAGAACCAGCACGCACACCAGCTCCTTTAAATACACCATGTTTCAGGTTATTTTGAACTTGTTAGTTTGACCTGCCATCGTTCCTGCACACGTACAAGCCAATGCCTATGAGCACACCAACCTATCAGTGTTTGACGGCCTACTGCTTTCACACAAAATGCTCCATTTCAAAATACACACTTACAAAGCAAAGCGCGCTGCTACCATCCTTCCAGCTTACGCCAAAAATAGGGATTCAAGCACCACCAATATCTCACACTGACTCCCAAAGAGAACTGCCCAGTGAGGCAATGCAGCCATCACAGTGTGGGAACACTACACAAATAAGGCCCATTACAGCACCATACACAGAGCTGAGCTTTCACAGCTCTGAAACCCCGTATCTGCACAGTGTAAATTACGGCACTTGGAACAATCCAACCACAGGAATCGTGAGAAGGGATGTAAAAAGCACCATCCTCATCATCGCCACTTTAAAAATTAACATCACAAAACTGCTTTTCCATGTGTAGATGACATGCTTAAGGAACACCAGTTCTCTTTAAATAATAAATGTATAAATATATAAAAAGAGAGAATATATATATTTGTGTTATCTGTATGTTGTGCTGCAACAATCATTTCAGGCTTGTGCACCCGGTATCTGAAATACATCCCAAAATATCCCCACACAGGCACTCCATATGAATATTACATGCACACATCCATAACAAGTGTTGCGACACTGCTGAAACCTACTCCTAATAAAGTTAAAATCAGCTGCACGTTCAGCTGGGGGCGGCCGTTCTGCTGCCAGTCGGCTTCCAGGAGCGCAGGAGCACAAAATGCCTGCCACTTTACTCAGCATCTTTAACATATACTGTAATCCCTCTCCAGGTATTTTCTAGAGCATTTCGTGTCAGGCTGCCAGGAGAAGCTCGTGCAGAGTGACGGGAGCAATACAAGTCTGACAACTGCAGGCACGGAAAATGGAGAAGCACCTCCTGTGTTTTGGGAGAGCGAATCCCCGTCACTGAGCCCTCAAACTGCTTATCAACAGCGGCAACAACAAAAAAAAAAACAACCACAGGAAGACTTGAAAAACAAAGACCGCTCTTCTCGCTGGTATTTCTATTTCAAGTTCTCAAGTTTCCTGCCTGGCTAGCGACATTTTGCAGACATCCGTAGGCAAGCTACGCGGAATTGATCAAAGTGGGGCAAATGGAGAGAAATTACACAACTGTTCAGCACGCGGGTGTGCGTGCACAAAAGTTCTCCCCCGCCACAAGTAGTTCTCCCAGCAGAAAGCTGCGAGCCGCTCTCCAGCTGTATAACTGCTACATCTTGTGGCAGCGCATCTCAATGCAAGGAGGAAAAGCAGACAATAACCCGAACGGAACAGAGAAGGGACTTGTTTGCTGGTAACCTTCATACAGCTATTCCCCGCAAACACCCACAACACCCCGCTCTGCCTGTCGGTGTAACACAAGAGGGGAGGAGCAGAGGAGGGAGGAGGAAAATATTATCATCCGAGGCGTGATGGAGGAAAGCAGAAAGTTGCAGTCATAGCGCGGCGGTGGCCGCGAGGCGCCCTGTCACCGCCGCCGCGGGGCCGGCCGCTCCCTGGGGGCCCTCCCGACAGGGACGAGCCTCGCGGTTCCGCTCCGTCCCTACCCCACCTCCACGGTGCAAAAAGTGCCCGACTCCTTCCATCCAGAAACAACGGCCGCGTCCACCCGCGCTCCGCACACCGCCGTTACTCCGCCGCCGGAGGAGGGCACAGCTCCCGGGGAGGATGCGAGCGGAAGGACGGCCGGAGCGGACCGCCGCGGCCCGGCGGGAGGGGGGCACGAGGAGGCGCCGAGGAGCGGCGGGGCCGAGCCCCTCGCCCGGCGCCGGAGGCTCTGCTCGGCGTCGCCGCCGCCGGGCCCGGCGCCCGACCCCCGACCCCGCGCCGCCACCGCCGCCGCGAGGGGCACCCCCTCTCCGCCACCGCTCCCCGCCAGCCCGGGACCGGCCTCCGGCGGCGGCGGCCGGGCCCCTCCCCGAGGGCCGGGCCCCCCGCGCAGCCCCGCAGCGCGCCGGTTACCTTCCTTGGGCGGCTTGCCGGGCGGCGTGCCGTGCAGCTGGGAGGCCGCCGCGGAGCAGCCCTGCAGGCTCGGTGGGGACGTGGAGAGCCGGGACCAAGATGGCGGCCCCTCCAAACTTCCACTGCTACTTTGGACACTCATCAAGCTACTTTCCTGGAGCCTGGCAGCCGCCGGGGGCGGCGGGGGAGGCGGCGCGGCGGGGGGACACCCAGCGCCGCGCTCATGGCCGGGGGGCCGGCCCGACACCGGCGCGGGGAGGCCGCCGGCGGGCGGAGGGCTCCGGAGGCAGGCGGGGCGCGGGAGGGACGGGGCGCGGGGCCGGCGCGACCCGCCCGCACCTCTGCACTGCGTCGCCGCGGCCGCCGCCGCCGAGCAGCCGCCCGTGTCTGAGGCTGAGGCTAACCTTCCCCGCCGCCGCCGCCGGGGAGGGGAGGGGAGGGCGCAGGCGGGGAGGGGTCATGCGCAAACACGATCGCGAGCCGAGCGAGCGCCGCGCTCTGCCGGCGCCCAGCCGAGCCGAGCAGCGCCGAACCGGAGCCGCCCAGGGGCGGCGGGCGGGAGCTGCGCCCCCCGCGCACGCACCTGCCCCGGCCCCCTCCCCACAGCCCCCGCCGCCACCCCGCTCTCCCTGGCGGAGCCGCGGCCGAACGCTCCATGTGATGCTCTCGGGGGGAGCGCGCCGCGGGCCCCGTGCTCGTCACGGTGCCGAGGGTGGGAGCCGGGGCTGCAGGGAGCGCCGAGGCGCGGCGGGGCCGAGCCGCGTGCCATGTGCCAGGCGCCTCCTCCCCTGCGCGCCGCGCACCGCGCGCCCTCGGGCTGGAGCATGGCCGCGTCCAAAGCCCGAGTGCTCCTCTTTACCGCCAACGCGGTCTCTGCTGAGAACGTGAAAGACGGGGAAAAGTCAGGTCTGGAACAAAGCCTTTCCAGTTGCGAGTGTAACTTAATGGTTTCGTTTATTTGGAAGAGCCGTGGCTTACGAATTGATTGGAGTTGCATGCGGGAATAAGGGTCCCCACGTGCTCGGCACGGCACTCCCGTACGCTGAGCAGACCCCTGGCCCTGCGCTCACTGCCCTCCCCTCCGGTTCAGGCCGGTGGCAGACTGCGTGAAGCAGCCATCACCGATCCCTCCTCTTTCTCTCCAAGCGACATCTGTCAAATTATCTGAGATCCTCACCGCCCACAAGAATACAGCATCACTGCATGCATCTTAGCAATTCAGCATTAACCTGAAGTAAAAAATCAGTTGGTTTACTTCCTAAGTAAACCTGGCCCAGTACAGCTCTACACGTGTTTGGCATGGAGAAATGATCTCTAACCAGGACCTCCTTGCCTTTAAGGACTTATCACAGAAAAGACTACTCAGGCTTTACTAAGCAAATTATGACAGCAATTGGCTAGTACTTTGACATGAAGTGAGGCAGTGCGTTATTGCTATTGAGGAGCTGCTACAGCTCCTTCCTGCAAAGTTAAAACCAAGCCATGCCCATGACCCACACCAGAGCAGAAGCGTGCCTTGTTGCCTGAGGAACAATGGCTGGTGGACTGATGGTGGGTTGCTGCCATCCCAGGGAGAAACAGTATGTTCAGAATCTTGGTGGCCCACGCGTATCCACTTCAGACAAATCAGAGCCCTGCTACCTTTAGAAAAACCTACAGAAACATGTCCTTCCTGCCCACAGGCCATTGCAGCGCTGCTGTGGGATTCCCAGTTCAATGGGGCACTACTTTTCACGATGCAGGAAACAGTTAATGACAGGGGAGATGCCATTCGTTACGTAGGTTTTCATGAAAAACATTTCTTAATGTGTCAGAGCTAGTGGTGACTTTAAGGTGTCCTTTTATTTGTAAAGCCACATTGCTTTGGTGCTAACATTTAAATCATAGAATCACAGAATGGCTTAGGCAGGTTAGTTTTAGAATTCTCCAAACACATTCTAAAAGACTAATTCTGTAGCATCATAAATGTGCACAATGCTCTTCAGTCACAATCAAACATCACCTGGTGGGCAAATGGTTGACCTCTCACAGCAGTGAGCAGTGGGCTCTGCACACACCCCGAACATTAAAAACGAAATGTAGCCCAAATAATACCAAATAATTATTACTCATTATTATTATTAATTTTGTTAAAAATAATACAAATATTTTTATATTAGATCTTTTTCTTTGCCTTTTTCAGGAGCGGAATAGTCTGCAATTACTGTTTGCTGGGTATACAGCGCCTATGATATCAGGTGTGACTCAAGGTGGGATAAATGAGGAAAGTTCCACTCAGTAGGATTGCACTGGATAGAAACAGAGATGGTGTTGCGTATCTGCATACAAGGGAAGGCTTGATTCCCACCTAGTCCTGAGAAAGCTCACTGGATTTCACTACATGCTAAGAAAGGACCTTGAAATTCAGATCAGAACAGAAGGGAGTGAAATGCTTATGTGCTATTTCTCCCATGAAAGTAAGTCAAATGTTAGCTAGCAAAGGTTTATCACAGCAGCAACCCTCAGATCAAGGACACTTGAAGAACAGGAAAACATTTTGAAATGTCATTATTCCAAAGATAAGAAACGCCAAGCAACAAAAATCTGAAACAACAGAATGGTGAGAGCTTTCAGCTTTGCCAATGGAATTACTGTGATGAAAGTTTCTTACACAGATAAACTCACACTCTACCCCAAAATCTTTAGAGCAGTAAGAAAAGTTAACTAGGAGATAAGGAAGAAGCTAAAGAAAAGGACTGATGAGCTGCATAGCAAAATAAGAAAGACTGCAGCAGGAGTGACCTTCTATAGGCATGTGCATTGCACCTACAAAGATAGCTGTGTACTCAGGTCTAATGTCAATTTCTAGACTTTTACAAACTATTACAGAACGAAGAGACGATTTCAGGCATTGCATATAAAAACCAAAGCTTTACCCAGGGATTCTAGGGGAAGAATGCTACAATTGTGCTACAATTTCAGAGATTTTAATTTTTCCATGACCTTCACCTTTGCTGTTCACTGGCACCAAATGCATTTTGGTGTCCTCGTGAGAAACAGGCACTCTTATAATCAAATAGTACATGTTCCCAGTAACAGGGTCTCCTATCTCTCTTTCCACCAGCAATCCGCTATCATTTTTCAATCAAGTGGCTGAAGTTTCGTGCAACTAATAGATACTGAGATATGTGGGAGCAGTGACTGACCAAGTCATGTGACCAATTACGTGAACAATGTATAACATTTACAACATATGAGTTGTAAATAAGACCATACTTAAATTATGTCAGTAATTAGAAGGGAGACCTTACATTCATGGGACAATCAGAAGAAATTGGGGTAGAAGGGGAACTTGATTTAGCAGGTTTGTGCTTCTCCTAGGACTGAAAGGCAAGAGTTTCCATAATTATGAGTATGGATAAGACCCCTGGAGAAGTATTGAACTAGATGCTTCCAAACTTATATCAGTCTCTATGTGCCAGAGATCAGGGAAATGGCAGGATTCAGAGATCACTAGGGTCTGTAATATGGTCAACAATTGCACGAGATCTTTTTATCCTCTCACATACATCTTTAACCAGAAATATTCAGTATATGGCCTTCTTCCATCTTCTTGGACTGTGCACAAGTTCCTCAACGAAAAGCGGAGCAGCCCAGACTTCTTTATGTCTTTCTCAAATAAGCAATTCTCTTCACCAACCACCATTCAGGCCCTTTCATTTGGGCCACCATTACTTATGATGCCAGTAAAAGCGAGGTTCTGTTTGTTATGAAAATCACAAACTCTTTATTAGTTTCCTGTCATCCTGGCACTTCTGGATCACAGACGTATCAGATATGTGGCAGGTGGCCTCATTTGCTTCTCTCCACTTTTCTTTACACAGTTTTTCAGATACAGCATTTTATGCCACTGGGAAGGTGTTTTTATAGCTGTAGATGTATTTCCTTAAAAGAGAAACATGAGCTGTTGCAGTGCTCTATGCTGATGTAGCAGTATGTTTGCCAGCGTAGACCAATTTGATACATCCATCTACCTACACAAATGTACATGCTCTCTCCTATCCCATACGTAGAAGGACACACACCCCCCCTATAATCAGCACCAGCCACCAATGTGGTAGAAAAAATATTCTCCTAACTAAAATGGACATACTGGCACATTGGCTCAAATAGAAAATGCCTAAATTACTTCATCATTAAAATGATGTATTTATGATATTTCTAGGTTAGATGGAATGTAGTATTCCAGAAAAATATAACTCAAACTACTGTTCTCTGTCATAGTGAATGGCAGAGGTTCACAGCTCACACACTGTCTTTCCCACACCTAACAGAGCTGCGTGCACTGCAGACCCTCCCCATGCCACACTGATGCTCTCCCACCATCAGAGCTGCAGTGCTGACTAGAATCTTCCAGGCTGCATCCTAGAGACTCAAAATGCAGCTTTGGCGTGAGTACAAGGTAAGATGCCAAGTGACTGTGACAGCAAGTGCATTACTGTGGTACAACACGCCTGCAGATTTAACAGCTTTTGTACCTGATTCTCATGTAGCATTTCTACTTACGAGCAGAAAGGAATGTTGTAATTATACCAATATTAATTTTCAAGTGTAGTTAAACTTTTAAAAAATTGATTTTAAGCAATGCTATTTTTATAGGAAAATGTTACTCAGATCTTGATTAAATCAATTTTGAAGCTCACTGAATTAGAGCTGTCTCCCTAAGCCACATACCACACTACATGCTTTATAATTTTTTTAATATAGCACTTGCTAGCAACTGTGAGTTGCAAGGTAACAAAAACATACATAAATAATACACAAGCAAAAATATCCTCCCTAAATATACCAGCATATCAAGATGAAGAGAAGCCAAAATGAAAAAATGGTATCACATAAAGCCTACACTTGAGAACACAAACACCATGTAAGCACAGATCTATTTTTATCATCCATGTAATTGTCATAAATTGAGTTTATCATACACCTTTGCTATCGTCACCAGTAGTCAGACCTGGTGATCCACCTCTGCTGTGATTACTTGTACTCAAATCTCTAAGAAGCCTGCAAACAACCCCCCTCTCAAACCACAACCAAAAATTAAACTGTGTTCTTACGATAGAAATGTTCCTCTCAGCACCAGACTCTCTCTTCTAACTACTAAGATGATTAGCTACATTCCAGTCAGAATGAAG